TCTTCAGACATACGCGATGGGATTGAGAGAGGCTGTGGTTGCAAGTCGACGAATCATTGGAAAGTCATCCCATCGCAAAGCAGCTCGAGGACTACATGTTTGAAGTCTCTAAACTGCGAGAATCTAAAAAGCGCTTCAAGCAGTTTGTTCTGGGCGCACTGACTGGAAGCATGCGAAAGTCGATGACTGGTGGTGGTGATCGACCTTTCTATTTCGCTATCATGTACGTAGTTACGATTTGTGCAAAGATGTGTTCATGGCAGTTCATGCTGTTGGAAGTCATGTAATGAAGCGCCTTCATTAAAAAGGCAAACAAAGGAGTCGTTCAACTGGCACACCATGGCTTGACTGGGAGAACACCAGAGCACTTAGCCATTCCAGCAGACATAGAGCAGAATGTAGTGCAGTGTATTTATTCATATGGTAACACGTACGGTCTACCTCAACCTGCAGCGGAGCGAGGTCGTGCTGAGGACCCTCCAGTATACTTACCAGCATCCAAGAACAAGAAGTCTGCATACAACATCTATACCAAGACTGCCACACAGTATTCGCCTGTTCAGTACGGGTCATTTTGCCACATTTGGAGGAGACAGGCAGCAAACATCAAAGTGATGAAGCCAAGGACAGACGTATGCGCACTGTGTAACAAGCTGGGGTACAAAATTCATGTCGCCCGTACAGAGGAAGAGACGGAATGTAGTGTCCAGGCCCTGCGTTCGCACATATCACTAGCACAAGAGGAGCGGCAGTACTACCGAGATTCAGTGGACGGCGCGCAGGCGTCACTGGGTGAAGCTGAGGGCATAGTTCACTATACATTTGAACTGCCTAACTAGCAAGAATGAAGATATATAAAGAACATTACAAACTGTGTACATAAATTTGCTCTATATCGCTCAATTGACATGCCATTTTTAAATAGGTGGTTAGGCACATTTTTCCATTGCAGATCAACTTGAAATTTTGTTTGAGCACATTACCATACCATACCAACATTTTGAGAGAAAAAAATTTTTTCGCCAAAAAGTGCCATAGGATGGTTTCTGTAGTCCCTGGCTCATATTGTGTTTTCTGAATATTTAACATTAGGTTATCTTCTTTGAATTTTTCACTTGATTTCTCCACAATCTCCTCGACTTCTCGCCTCTCCGTGTCATGGATTGTTGTGTCGTCTGCATATTGGGTGGTTTGTGCTGGTAAAGATAAGTGCGGTAGTATAGGATCAAGGTGGCGCATGGCTCCCTCAGCATACACTTTGTACATGATGGGAGAGAGCGGATCTCCCTGCACTACTCCAATATTTGTAGCAAACGATTTGCCTAAATGAGAACTGAGTTTCACTCTCACCGTCGTGTCCGAGATCAGAGTGGCGACGACATCAGTGGCAGCTCCAGAGTCTGAAAATCGCGCCAACGCCTTCTCACAGACAATGGTACCAAGTGCTCCGCTGAAGTCTAATAGTGCGGGAGAGTATTTCCAGTCACCGAGTAGTGCACGTTTGCACATGACACGAGTATAGAAAACTCCGTCAGCCGTGGAGCGTCCGGGTGTAAAGCCTGCCTGACTTTCACGTACATATGAGGTGGTAGGTTGTTGTGAACGCATGGTGATGATGCGGGTCAGCACCTTGCGAACAACTGATAGCAGCATGACCGGTCTGTAACTTTTCGGTGCACCCATAGGTTGTCCTCGTTTGTATACTGGGACCAGAAGGCCACATCTAAGGTCAGGTGGGCAATAGTGGAGTTCCTTAATGGAGTTGAATAGGGTAGTCAGCCATGGAGTAATGACAGTCTAAGCCGTACGTTGCAGTGCCGCACTGATCCCATCACATCCAACAGCGCCTCCGATTTTCTGGTGCATGATGGCCTTCCTAATCTCTTCAGAGGTAAATGGTTCGACTTCTGCCTTACTGTTAGGTTGTGCCGGGAAAAGCGTTGGCTGGTCGCTCCGGTAAAACACTGATGCGAAATACTTGCTGAATTCCTCCAAATTCCAATTTACATTTGTGACATTTTCACCACTATCATTTGCGAGTCGTACTGGAGAAGGTTTGTCAGGATTTCGAAGTGCTTTTTGCTGTTTGATGGCATTGAAGTACGATCTTGCATCCGGGCGTAATGCGTCCACTGCCTCCGCTTTGTGCTGCCAATATATGTCACCTTCGTTTCTGAGTATTGCTCGGATACGGTGAAGGATCCTGTTTCTACTTTGTGTTAGTTCTTTCCACTTGTTTGGATCTTTTTCCATATGTATCCGGCTGTGGATTTCTTTTTGTTGAGTTGATAGCTCAATAACAGCAGGGCTCGTACTTCTAGCAATCCTCTTCTCTGGTTTCTTTCTTCCAAATGCCTTTTCCCCTGCTGCATGGGTAGATGACACAAATCTCTCCCAGGTTTGGTCTAGCGTGGAAATATCTTCAGGCGGGGTGTTTATGTCTGGCAACGTGCTTGCTATGGCATTTTTGAAACTTTCAGCAGAGTCTTGTGTGGGTTCGTTGTACTTGATGAAACAGCGGTCGTTGGTTGCTTTATATGTTGTACAAAGCCAGAATGTTAGTCGAAAATCTGCAATACCCGGATAGTGATCGGATCTTGTTGTGAATCCACCGTATGATCTGGCATTCACAACGCGCACTGTGTTTGATCTTCGCATAATCACAAAATCAATCATGTTTCGAACAGGTTGGCCATCCCTGTGTACGAGCCCATCCGAGAACCATGTCGAACGATGCTGCATACGATGTTTGAACATGGTGTTGCATAAAATCAGATTTTTCTCCTCACAGTGCTTCACTTCCTGGAAATGTGACTCCAGGCTTTGTGCAAAACCACGTCACTACGACGTTCTACAGGTTTCCACGATGCCTCGGCGCTTCGAGCAAAGAGCCAAGACTAATATGACATTGTATATCAAGAGCTAAGTGCAAGGCAGGAGACATGTGCAAGAACCAAAACCGTCACCGCGCAAGAGGTCAGAGTATCACGCAAGCAAGACCAAGAGTGCAGCAGAACTATCCATAAGAAGCCGCTGAACTATGGCACGTTGGGTGAGCGGGCTCCCCAACGTGACCCTCATATACTCACATTGTACTCTGACGTGGGTGAGCGGGCTCCCCACGTCCCAATTTGTTCTTTCTTCTCTCGATGTTTTTCTTTCTCTTTCTTCTTGAATGATCACCGTACGTATACACGTATATTCTGCATTTCTGCTGACTGGCTGCGCACATTCCGGTTTGACTTGTTCTGCTATTTCCTGGAATTACCTCGCAATGATCACGCCATATATCTCTGAAGCACCCTATAAAAGAAGCGCTCATTCTCTCTTTTACTTCAGTTTTTAGTCTAGTTTTTAGTCTAGTCTAGTCTGGTCTAGTCTAGTCTAGCAGTCGAGACTCGGTCTCAGCTCTCTGTCTTCGTTTACTTTGAGCTCGGATTTGATACTACTCACAACGTAAAACTAACAGTCTTTGTCTGTTGATCGTGTGGGGTTGATCTTGGCCCAAGCCAGCTATATTGGTTGGCCCCTGGGTTGTGTTGGGCTTGTCATGAGGCCACACGTCTATATTCAGTCGCCGCTCGTAGTGATTTTGGGGTCCGGTCACTGTGAGCCGGGGATGCGACATATCCGAGTAAATATCCTTGGAGACAGTACGATAAAAGTGAGTTTGCACGTCGTGTGAATGGCCAACAACCCCACATCATAGTGAGTTGGGCACTACATTTGTGGAGGGAGAAAAGGACGACGGCATATTCTCCAGAGACAACAATAGACAACGGGAACAGTTAGATGGGACAACATTTATTTGGGAGACGAAGAGACAGAGACCAAGACAAACGAAACGACTACATTGTGGCAGAGAGAGACAAGAGCTAGAGATCAAGTATGAACGGCAAGATAAAGGGCCTGGGAAGGTATGGAGAATATGGGCACGCAAGTAGCTACCCAGGCCAACAGAACAAAAGGTGAGAAAAGGAGACAAAAGGTGAGAAAAGGAGACAAAAGGTGAGTACGACGTAGTATGGGGTGCATGCAGGCCAGCTTGGAAAAGGTTGTACGGAAGGAGGTATCTAACATACCTCCCCTGCGCAAAAAAGGAACTGCGAACTCGCAGGAAATAATAAGACGACGAGAAAAATAGAAAAAATGGCTGAGGAAGTAGGGAAAAAAAGCACACACACACACACACACACAATGCACAGGTGTCACAAAAGTGTTATATTAATTATGCACTACAGCTATGATGTTCCTGTACTCTAAAGTATTTACACATCACTCATGGTAGCGTAGACATTGCCAACGACGGGCCAAACACCCCTTCACAAAAAAATTGGCACACATAAAAAACTAAAAGCAAGGAACATTGTCTTCTGATTTGCATTGCTATGCAGCATAGTTACTCTTCTGCCAATTAATGCAACATGAATAAAAGAGCGTGGCTCACCATCGGACAACTAATATTGACGAAGGACACCCGCGCACACACGCACTACAAAAATCACAAAATAAAATAAACTGAATATAAATTTGACGACGAAGGACAGATGAAAAGAAAGAGAGAAATAAAGAAAATAGCTGACCTGCATGACTTGGACGAGACGAGATTGACATTGAAGAGACAAGGTTGACATGGACGAGACCAGGTTGACATAGGCGGGACGAGGATTACTGAGGACAAGACGAATGGCGGTTGAGGACGACTGTGCATGGGATCTCATGCTCTACCGACTGAGATATCCGGAAGAGAGAGACAAGAGCTAGAGATCAAGTGTGAACGCGAAGGTAAAGGGCCTGGGTAGCTATGACAATTATAGGCGCACAAGTAGCTACCCAGGCCAACGGAAAAAAGGTGACTACGACGTAGTATGGGGGGCATGCAGACCAGCTTGTAAAAGGTTGTACGGGAGAAGGTGCCTAACACATTTATATCCAATATAGATACTTTTCTGATGGATAACGCACAGGAATGTCTTGTCATGTGTGTTACCTGTACACAGACCGGTGATCTTCCTGTTCATCACTCTGCCAGGAATGGACATCTGGAAGTAGTCAAGTATCTACTAGACCTCCAACCCGACACAACCTCTGTAAAGAACAATGTAAGTTGAGCAATCTCTATTCTTGATTCTCCTTTTAAGGAATATATTGCTCAAACCATGTTCTGGAAAAAAAATCTTAAAAGATTTTTTTTCCAGAACATGGTTTGAGCAATATATTCGATCACAACAAGTAGCATCCAGTCACTCGCGCCAGGCCAGAGCAACAGAACTTAACCTTACGGATTCCACCATCTGCCAGTAGAGCAGACCATGGCACACCATTCACTCTTGGGTCCATACAATGGCCGTCCCTACATTCTAAAGTGGCGTAAATAAATTTCCTGGTGTATGTGTGTTTGTGTGTGTGTTTGGGGGGGGGGGGGGGGGGTGTGCGTGCGTGAGTGCGTGTGTGCATACAGCAAGGATAGGCAACCGTCTTAGCCGTTCTATGCTGATGTACTTCGCGTTGTGCAAACCACGTGTGCATTGGTGGTCGATTCTCATGGCTTCACAGGTTGTATGGATTAGGAAGATATCTGGCACTAGTCTTGATCTGTCTCATTCAGATCTTGTCCGCTATCGTTGCTATAAGAGACAATCTGTGGGTGCACCTCCAGTACATTTCGCAGATTTGCGTGCTTCTCTTGTAACGGGCGTATACATGGTACACGGTGTGTATGCGTGTACATGTGTGTGTGTGTGTGTGTGTGTGTGTAGCGGGGGGGGGGGGGGGTGTATGTGCATGTTTGTGTGTACATGTATAATTATACTAGGGATGAAACGATTATACTTGGTCCACGTCAGCAATATTGTCGCTTATCTTTCAGCTCTGTTATTTTGTCGCCAATGCTCACTTGGCAGCCCATTTCATCCCAATTTTGGTTAGTAGGTTAGTTTACTAGTATCTGAAAGGTCTAGCTAGATTTCGAGAGTGACAGGTTCGTGATTCTGATTGGTACAGCCCCGCATCAATAATTATTATAGATTATCTTGTCACACTGGGCAGGCAAGAGCAGCTCGTCGCACAAGAAAGTAATCGGCTACTCAGAATCAGTTCCATTTGCAAAACGGCCGAGATCACTAACCTCAGGGATCGCTCGCCAAGCTGACATCGCAGTTCCCTCGCCTCCAGTGCAACGCTCGGAGTATCCAGCGAATCGTGGAGATTTGCAAGTACTGTACTAGTCATCGTCGTTCAAAATAAATCTTGCAAAGAACGGCGACTGATTTGAACCACACAGGCAGTCGTGCTGCCCACGCGAAGTCCTATAGAGAAGGCGATCTTCACGGTCGACTTCCCTTTAGAAAATAGCCAGGCAGCGGAGAGGAAGAGAGATGAGCTTGCGAAAAAAATATTTGTCACCAGCGCCGTGAGCAGCGACAAGGAGGACCAATAATGCATGAACCCTTCCTTGGACAATAAATTCCACTTGGCCAGTTGTCATTCTGTACCTTACCTTCCTTCATACCAAGTTTTATCGTCTCAAGTGCACGTGTTGATGTCCAAAGTCAAAGTTCAAATTGGACAATGTTTTACCGATACTTGTAGTTTTACTCTCTCTCACGAAATGTATTCCTATCTGTAATTGAAGACTTGTTTTCTTCTGGTTAGTGTGCCATGGTAGAGGATAGACTAATGCACAGCCAGTAATCCCCTTACAGCTTATGGTGCCGAAACCCGGGACCAGTGGAATCCGGTTTGGATCCGCCAAGCCTGATGTTGTCGCGTCTGCTAGCGATGCGCACCCGTCGCCTCAGCGTGAAGCATGACGGGCATGACGTAATTCTCCAGTCGCAGGATGGCGAAGTGCGCTGGAAAGTGGAGGAGAGGGAGTGGGAGCTTTCTTGGCAGTGGAAATATGGTGTTGCCCCAGCGGCTATGCTTGGATCCGGCATCGCAGCTTAATCGCGAGAGAAGCTCACTCCAGAGCAAGACAAGACCCTGTTCTGTGCTGAAGTGGAGAAGTGGATCGAGAATGAGTGGCTGATTCCACACGATCCGATGGTGCATGGTGAGCCAGCAGCAGTGTTACCGCGACAGTCGTTCGGCCAGTGCTCGACTACCGCTGCCTCAATGCCCGGCTGCAATCAGACCCTGGTGGTGATTCACCCGCCTGTGAGGAGTCTCTGCGTAAGTGGAGAAAGGCTGGTTGCCTTGGAGTGGAGATTTCAAGCTCTTGGACATCAAGAAAGCGTATCTCCAAGTCCACGTCGCTAAGTAGTTTCTGAAGTACCAGACTGTCCTTTGGAACGGAAAGCCATACGTGATGACACGAATGGGCTTTGGGCTCAGTAATGCACCAAAGTACATGGGCATCATCGCCCGTTATGCAACGCGCGGTTACCCGAAAAGTTGACAGCTACATCGATGATATGCTGACCCCGTCAAATTGCGCTCACGCCGGTGCCAAGACGATGCTTGAGTACAGCCTGCCCACGAAGCCCGCCGAGCCGCTGGAAGAGTCGAGAGGATTGGGCCTGCAGCTGTGCGACGCCGGAAGCGAGGTCACCTGGCGACGTCGAGATGGCAGCGACCTCCGTGTACCGGAGGTCTTGACGAAGCGTGCCATATTCAAATGGTGCGGTAGGCTAACAGGTCATCTGCCAGTTTGTAGTTGGCTTCGCCCCGCCTGCAGTTACCTCAAGGAAAGGCTGACGTCTTAGCCGTTCTATGCTGATGTACTGATGGTGATAGACTACTGTGTTAGCCTGGTTGAAGTGGACGGACGTGGTGGTTGAAGTGGACGGACACGTCATTGAAGACCGATCATGGCTTCGACCAGCCGGAGACACACGACATATCAATGTGAGCGAGCAGGAAGCAACGATCAAAGGACTCAACCTCGCCGTTCGTTGGGGTGCTACAAAAGTGCGGCTCATAACAGATTCAAAGTCTGCCGCTAGCTGGCTGAACGATGTGGTGACGAACTCATACCGTGTTCGTACCTTGGGCCTTCACGAAGTGGTGGTGCAGTGACGTCTGCAGATAGTGTGGGACATTGTCATTGTAGCTGGCCTCTCTGTGATAGTCGTATTGGTCCCGTCTGCCAAGAATTGAGCTGACATCCTAACGCGTGTCCCCGCTACCTGGACTGCGGCAAAGCGCAGTTGAAGGTGAGCAGCATTGCAGCAAGCCTCGTCCGTGGATCTGCTGGTGGTCCAGTTCAGCAACACGACATTGCTGCCGCTCAGCATCATGCTCCGCAATCCCATTTCCAAAACGGGGTGAAACCATTCTCTACAGTTTTCTTCGCAAGCCCTATTTAAAAATGGAGAATAATGAGTTCTTTGGAGGAAATGAATTGAGTAGACGAGAAAAAATAGCGACCCTCTACAGAGGAGGTCATACTCCGAGACAAATTATGGACATAATTGGTTACAAGAAGACTCAGGTGAGTGAAACAGATCATCAATAATGTGATAAAATCAAGAACAAGTCACAAAACAATCTTCGATTCTATTGTCCATGTTCAGGTAAAGGACACATGCAATCGAGTTGAAATTGGGAGAAGCGTAGCAAGACAGGCAGGCAGCGGAACAATGCCGAGACTCTCACCTGTGGGCATGGAGTTTGTTGCTGATCACATCGTTGCCAATCGTTTCGCGAGCAGTGAGAAGATTTCTGAGGTTCTGGACACGGAGCAACCTGGTGGGGAAATGACAGCTTCGGGCGGCCGGTGCGTAAGGTTGTTCTGAAAGAAGCAGCAAAGAACAGCCGGCTAGTATGGTGAATTCAGCATCGCCAGTTTGACTTTGACCGCGTTGTCTTTGCAGACGACTAGGCATGCTTTGCGTTGGGTCCTGACAGACGTGTTATGTCCTGGTACCCGTGGGACGACAAGGCAATAAGCGAGGTGCCACACTATCCAGCAAAGGTGCACGTCATCGGGGCCATTTCACTTTTCGGAACCGTTCGGCATTTGTCCTCTGCTCCAACGTGGAGTGCAGCAACGTTCGTCCAAAGAAAAGCAGCCGACATTGTACCGAGTGGTATCGGATTCTTTGCAAACGAGTGGCCCTTGCCGCTCCCACACGTCAGCTCAAGCACAGCAGGATCTTCTCGATAGCGGAGTACCCAACATCCTGTTTCAACCTCCCTGCTCGCCGGACATGAATCCAATTAAGAATTTGTGGGCTCTTCTCAAGAAGAGAATATTTCCACCTCGCTGCGAGAATGCTGACCAGCTGGTGCAGGCACTGCACCTGGAGTGGGACTCGTTGGCTCCTGACACGGTTTCCCTATGCGTGGAGTCACTGCCACGTCGTGTTGAAGCCCTAATCGAAGCAAACGGTGGCCACACAAAATATTGAAGCCCTGCTGCTCTGTGTATGAAATAAACTGTTTCGAAACGATCTCCGTCTTCTTTACTTGTCCTGAACTGAAATGAATGTTACCAAGAGTATTATAACCCCCCCCCCCCCCCCCCCCCCAAGAGTGTGCAACTCCTGATACCCTTTCCATGGAGTACGCCGACGGCGAAAACTCACATCACGTGGTGCAGTGTCTCCGTTTTACGTGTCCAGCCTGTTTTTAGCGAGCAGTGGAGTAATAAAAAAGCACTCTCTGACAGAAACTCACTACGCGTATGCAAATCCCCAGCATGATTATGGCAGATATTCGGATTTTGCTACACGCTATCCTTGGTTGGTACGTATTTCGAAGATATCTGAGACACGTGATGTGAGTTTTCGCCGTTTGAGACCACATATGCAGAGTTTTACAATCTGGGGGGGGGGGGGGGGGTTATATACTCTTGATGTTACTCTTCTCTTTGTTTGGCGCGGTTTTTTACACTTTGGTGTAAGCATGCATGCGTATGAGTAAAGCACATGCACAGTTCATACGGCACACGTGCACACTAGCACTTATACAACTTTGAGGGCGTCAAGGGCCGCATCATCAATCCAACACCCGTCAACAGGAATGTTTTGGTGTGTGCAGAGATGTCCATAAATGATTCGAAAGAGTTCTTAGTATTGTATACTTGCGCCCATCATATGCCCCACAACCCACAAGAGGAACATTGCAACGTTACTTTGGCTCAAAAAGAATGCACCTCCATTATGCATTTGGTTCACATAAACATTGGTTATGATGAAGAAAGGAAAAGGACAAAATGTTACGAGTTATGACAAACTGTCCACCAACGTAACCAGATCTCATACAGTCAGCGAGTGCGACAAAACGGCACAAAACTGACAAGGAGTACTGAGGCATTCGGCGACCTGACACCTAGCTTTTCCTTTCTTCATCTTAACTATATTGGCTCACCATCCGAGTTCAAATAAAAATTGGTCTCAATCATTTCTGATTTGACCTCATGGACACACTCATCATCAATTCGACACCCATCAACGGGAATGATTTGGTGTGAGCAGAGATGTCCACAAATGATTCAAAAGAGTTATTAGTATTGTATACTTGCGCCCATCATATGCCCCTTAACCCACGAGAGGAATATTGCAACATTACTTTGGCTCAAAAAAGAATGCAAACTAATCAATCTCCTACCCAGCACTAAAGCATGTATTGGGGTTTTCCAGCATTAGCTTGTAAACAGTTGACTGATCAGCATGTTGTGCATGAGACTGCCTCACTTCGTAGTGGTTTGTGCATTATACCCAATATAAGTACTTTTCTGATGGATAACGCATAGGAATGTCTGGTCATGTATGTTACCTGTACACAGAACGGTCTCCTTCCTGTTCATTTCGCTGCCGGGAATGGACAACTGGAAGTTGTCAGGTATCTACTAGATCTCCAACCCGACACGATCTCTGCAAAGAACGATGTAAGTTGAGCAATTTCTATCCTTGATTCTCCTTAAGCATTTTTCCAGAACACGGTTTGAGCAATATATTTGATCGCAACAAGTAGCATATAGTCACTCGCGCCAGGCCAGAGCAACAGAACTTAACCTTACGGATTCCACCATCTGCCAGTAGAGCAGACCATGGCACACCATTCAATCTTGGGTCCATACAGTGGCCCTCCCTACATACTAAAGCGACGTAAATATATTTCCTGGTGTATATGTGTTTGTGTGCGGGTGGGTGTGTGGGTGTGTGCATGCGTGCGTGCGTACGTGTGTGCACACAGCAAGGATAGGCAACTCTCTTGGCCGTTCTATGCTGATGTACTCCCTGTTGTGTATACCATGTGTGCATTGGTGGTCGATTTTCATGGCTTCACAGGTTGTGTTGATTCGGGAGTTATTAATTGCTAGTCTTGATCTATATCATTCAGATATTGTCCACTATCGTTGTTATAAGAGAAAATCTGTGGGTGCACCTCCAGTACATTTCTCAGATTTTCGTGCTTCTCTTGTGACGGGCGTATACATGGTACACGGTGTGTATGATGGATGACTCCATCACTGAAAGCAGCTATTAAAGTCAAGAGCGATCTCTACAGCATCTACCGGAAATACCCATCCCCTACAAATTTCAACAAATACAAACACCAACGTAACTATGTAAAATGCCTTTCCAGATCCTGCCATCGCTGCTACATCCGCAACCTCCGTGCCACGATATCTCCCACAAACCCTCGCCTCCCATCCCTCCCTGTGCTCATTCGTCAACTGCGAAATCCTACCAGCGCCCGGGTTATACCTTCGAAGATGGTGGGCCCCAATGGTCGAACAAGCACCTCTCCGGCATCCATTGGTAACTTATTGAACCGCCACTTCGTTAGTGCTGCCTTACAGGTTGACCCCGATGCTCCTATTCCCACTATTTCCTCTCTACCTCCACCAGCAACTACATTGCACTCCCTGATCATCACCTCATCGACTGTTCACAAGTATATTGCAAGACTGCCTCTGAACAAATCCCCCGGAGCTGATAGGATCACCAATGAGATCCTCAGGAAACTGAGCTACTCAATTGCCCGCCCACTCTCCATTCTTTTTAACCTTTCCCTCTCCTCCGGCACATTCCCGTCACGATGGAAGTCAGCCACTGTCATTCCAGTGTACAAAAATAAAGGCGACAAGAACAACCCGTCTAATTACCGACCAATCTCCCTCCTGTCCTGCGTCTCCAAACTGCTAGAGAGAATAGTGTACGACCGCTTGTACGACCATATCTCCCCTCTTCTTCACCCCGCACAATCTGGCTTCCGTCGTAAGGACAACACATCCCTGCAATTATCCCGCATAATCCAAGACCTCTGCTCCCTAAAAGACCAGCGGCAGGTCTCCTGCATCTGTTTCTTCGACCTCTCCAAGGCCTTCGACACCGTGTGGCACAAGGGCCTGATCGCCAAACTTCGTGCCCATGGTGTCTCCGGCTCCCTACTCGCCTGGATAACTAGCTACCTCTTGGACCGACATCAGTGCGTCACAGTAAATGGAACCTTATCTGACCCCGAGTCTGTGACATCCGGAGTGCCCCAGGGCTCCATTTTAGGTCCCCTGCTCTTCCTCACATACGTTAATGACCTCCCCTATTCAATTCCCAATATTTCTTTGTTTGCAGATGATACCACTGTCCTTGCTTCCTCCCCATCTCACGCCACCCTGTACCCCAAAGTTCAGACCTGTATCAACGACATTGTTCACTGGATGAGCACTTGGTACCTTAAGCCAAATGTGACCAAAACCGAGCTCCTCCTGTTTCCCCCTCCCACAGATCCAGTGCCCATCTTCCACTTTCCCGATGATCCCGGTCACCCTATCTCTGTAGCGCCCCACCATAAACACCTTGGCATTGTCATAGATTCCGCCCTCTCCTGGTCTCACCATGCTGATCATGTGTCGTCCAAAGTATGCCGATCTGTCGGCATAATGTCAAGTCACTTGTCCCATTTGCCCAAAAATTGCCGGATTAATTTTTATAAATCATACATTCTTCCCCTCTTCACGTACGGCTTCCCTGCCTGGTCCACCATTAACAAAAACCACATAGGTAAATTAGAAGTTCTCCATCGCCGTATACTGCGAATCATATTCCGTACTGATCGTTATACCTCAAATCTAGACTTGTATGCTGCTGCATCCACTACCACTCTGCAACATTACCTTGATGCTTCCAAGTGCACCCTGGCGCATTCAATTTTCCTTGACCAGCACCCTGCTCATTTACAGTCCCTTAATTGGTTCAATTCAGGTGGCACCACCCGAAGCTGCGTTCGTCTCCCCCTAGCTAGGTCTACCCTATTCGTAAATTCCCCTTTCTTTTCCTCCTACTCCACGTGGCTCCAACTGCCTCCCAGTGTTAGACAAGCTCCAGATATGCCCAAATTTCGTACCCTCGTCAGACAGCACTTCAGTATCTCCCAGTAAACAAAGTCACAGTCACCACTTCCGCTGCATAGCTCGCTGAGCATCCCATTGCTTTGTAAGTTGCTAATCCCTTCCCACTTTGTGTACGTGCTCTTAATTTTCTTTTTTTCTCTTCTTCCGTGGTTGGTCTCACCCTCTCCTCAATTCAATTGGCTGTCTTGACATGCCACGAGGTGCAGAAATAAATAAAATAAAAAATAAAAATGCGTGGACATGTGTGTATGTTGGTTGGGGGGTATGTGCATGTTTGTGTGTACATGTATATCAGTCGGGGAGATGTCCTATCTAGGACATCGCACTCTGAATGAGTCTGATTGGTTACCTGTCCCAGAGTTGTCATGGAAGCGTCGGTCGCGCACACGCGATGAAAAGAAGTGCTGCGTGAGCATTTCTGAATGTATGTGGAGGATGCACGATCGTAATGGCGATGGATTTCTTTCCGAATTGGTCAAGTTTGAGGGAATAGGCGGAGAATATCAGACATCGGCGGGGATTGAGGTAGTGTATATTCGATTCGCCATCGAATACCCGACCGAATGGCCGTTTTCGTTTGGGGATTTCATGTGGGGTTTCTCGTAGCCACGCGGCGCTTCTTCGGAAACGATTGCTTCTAATTATTTGAATGTTTTGCCTTTGGAATGTTTCTTCACGCCCCGTGCGTTCATTTCGCCCCAAACCTGGCCATGCAGAGGAGGACGACGAGGCAGCAGGCGCTGGGCCCGTAAATCACTGCCTGGAAGATATTATTTGGCCAAAGCTTGCTATTGGCGTTTTTGATTTCTTGGATACGACAGCTCTTGGCTAAAACTGGACCTTGGACGGTCTTTCTTGGATATCAACCCAGGACGTGGTGGTCATGGACGTATCGCCATCGCTTTCAGCCAGATCCTTCTGCTGCCCGAAACCAGTGGCGAAAGTAAAAACTTTATCGCAGCAGCAGCTACTGCTCTGCTGAAAGTGCGAACACAAATTAATTGCTTCGCCAACCCTCTTGTGCACTTGCAATTTTCAATGCGACCGAAACGATTCGCTTGCCAGTTCCTTTGTCCAGGCGTACTCCACAACGAGGAAAATAAAATTCGTGAAGGCAAGAGGCAAGATACGAATCTCGACTCGCTTGAGGCAAGCCGCCAGGAGAACGACAACTAATAATTACTTTTGAGACGAAAGGCCTTTTGTTGCGTTTGTTTTGAGTGAGACCAAGAGTCCATAACCCCCCAGAGTGTGCAACTCCAGGTTGGGGTCTGGCGCAACGAAATCCAAACATTGCGTCATCCGGTCCCCGGGCAAGCATGGGCGGATGGGGCCATATCCCCATGTGCATATCTGGTACATCCGGCGGGGGTTTCAAGTTGAAGGTTTCTTTGAAGCAAGCCACGGAAGTGTCACGTAAAACGTTTGCTGCACGGGCTATGCAGTGTCAGCAGAACGACTTTGATTTCACAGTCACAGAATTTTTTATTTGAAGAGAGTTTCTCTGCTCGTTGTCTGAAAAGCTTGTACATGTATTGGGAGAGTTCGTGACTCCGGGATAGCAAGAATAGGCATGGATATAGATTTACAAGATTTGATGGAAATAGCTCTTGGCACACGGCATGAAGACCCGATCGATTTCGAAGTAGATGTGCTTCAACCTGCAGTGAATGTTCCTGCTGGGTTCACAACCAGACGGTTCAAATAATTGACGGGTGTTCCATTGCATGTGAGAAGCACAGACTTCGAGCAATAAATCTCTATCCAGGTGCTGGAAGAATTAACAATTTCCAACACTCGACAATCGAGAGAAGAAAATGAGGAGCCCAGATCGAACAAAAACTGACGAATATCGTCCACAGAGACACTGCACTCCGGCGACAATGGGGAGCGCTTTGCTTTAGGTTCAACAGTGGCCATTGTTCTTCTCTTATCGGAGAGACACTCAAAAGAGAAAACTGTTCGACAACTCTAAAATAATTCTTTGTGTACTTGAGCCTTTCCAGGCGTGTTACGTACAATACCTGACCGTGGATTCGTAAAGAAAGACCCCAAATTGGGCAAACGGGCGAAGTAGGTCCGGGCCAAACTTCCCATTTCGTCATAGCTACTCACTACATGACGTATGAAGTTTGGATTTCGTTGCGGCACTGATTTGTGCTGAGAAGGATCACGAGTTGCACACTCTGGGGGGTTATGGACTCTTGGTGAGACATGTTCATCTTCCTCGGCCGCGACACGAAGTTTTGAGTCACGTGTCACGATTACTATGGGAACAGCATAGTATGTATGCTGGGGCATGCTGGGTTCCGTGATGTCCTATCTAGGACATCTCCAGGACTGGTATATATTAGGGCTGAAACGATTATATCGATTATCCGTCTAATTGATCATAAAGTGGGATTCACAGAAGAATTTTGCAATGCGACACAGGATGCGACGGTCGCGAAACCGGGAAATCCCCAAATCGCAGCCCACGCAACTGCCGCAACTGGGCCATCGCAGAAGTTGAGGTCGGCTCAAATTTTGCGAGGCAACAAACGATTTGGCGTTTGATTTTGACCTTTTCTACAGCAAAGTTGTACAAAAATTCAAGAGTTGCCGGAAAACTTGTACAAGTTGTACCAAACCACGCGAATACCATTGTGACGTACCCGCCTGCATTGTACTTCGCGCCAAATCAGCAAGTTATCGTCGCATCGGGGACTTCTTCTGTGAATGGTATTTCGCGAGTTCATATCGCACGCCTCCGTCGCAAATCACGTCGCATCGCCCATCGCATCTCAAAAAAGCTTCTGTGAATTCCGCTTTACAACGAAGCCACTTCGATTACTGTAAACCGGGAAAC